ACTCCATAAAGACAATTGATTCTTAATTTTATAAAGACATTTAATATTTAATTTACAAAATATAATAATAATTTAGGGAAAATGATAAACGGCTGTGATAAATCTTGTTGTGACGCCTTGTTATTATGATAAACTTGAGCACTAGACATTAGACCACGTTCACACATGTGACGTTCACTTATAATCAAATAAAGAATATTTATAATTAATGAGACATAATTCCCAGAATGGATATAATAAAAACATTGATTTACTAGAATAAATAGGAAAAAATTAAAGAATTCCGCATCGAAAGTTGAGACTATTTGGGTTTTTATAAGGGGGGAAAATCATCGAATGACTGCTTCCGCCTGGGTGAGGCGGGAGGGAGTGTCAGACTCTTACTAACTAAAAACCACCCCGTTCCTTCTCCTGCACGTCGAGCCGGAGCCCGGGTAACCAGTTAGGTTCTCCGCGTCAAGTGACTATTTGGGTTTAAAATCTTTTTTACTGCCGATCTATTTCACCATTTACTGATATAGAAATTTAAAATTAGTATTAGCGTTATTTAAAATATTCCATTTTTGTAGTTAAAATAAAACAGTGCTGCTAAAACAAAATTGAAATCAATTCACCAATAACATTCAATTTTATTTATCTCGATTCCATATCATTAGTACCTATGGTGCAATTTATAAATACTTCACAACATTTTGTAGATAGTGACTCTTTGTAGTGACAAATAATTGATTCGTGCGAGAATTGAACCCAGCGTTAACCCAGAGGATTGCTTTCAGTACGTTTTCTTGTACTATTACTTAAATGTTTTAATAACAAATTATATATGTAAGATACTATTTGGGTCTTTAACTTTCGGCCTTCTCAAATATGAACTTCCATCCTTGTCTGTTGATGATGGTAGATGGTACTGTAACCGTATATATGTATACATCTGTAATAGTACTTAAGACCCAAATGGTAATGTAAAGGCCCGAGTAGGTTACTTATGAACAGGCATTTCTTTTTAAAAGGCCGGCACCCTGTGACTCCCCCGGCGACCTGTGACTCCTCTGGTGTTGCGGGTGTCCATGGGCGGCGCTGATCGCTTACCATCAGGTAATCCGTCTGCTCGTTTGCCTCCTATTCCATAAAAAATGCAGGCATGCTTTATCGTAGGTAAGTGCCATCATTGCTTATCACCAGGCGATATGCTGGTCAAAGGAGGAGTAAAGACGCACTTACCTTATAAAACATCCTATTCTCATTTTATAAGGCTACTAGCTCACCCGACAAACTTCGAACAGCCTTAAATTTTTTTTCTGACCTTTTAAATCTTCTCTGGACTTCCATGAACAATTCAAGACCATTATTAGCCAAATCGGTTCAGTCGTTCTCGAGTTTTAGTGAGACTAACGAACGGAAATTAATTTTTATCTGTATAGAAGATTTATCTTTATATTAACATTGTTACTGTTTTAGTAATAGATAATGATTGAATGTGTTTTTGAACTTTGTATATAACACGTTCGGTTAAATTTTGAAAAATTACGTTCTTACAGTTCTCATTCTCGTCGTTCTTTTAAACAACAGTAACTTACTGCCTCTTAATACACTCTTCGCCTTGTCAGCCTAATTTACGAGTTGATCCCGATATATAAAAGTGGCACCTAGTTATTATTTGAAATGTTATAATATGTCTAGAGTTTTACATTCGTCATTTTTTATGTCTAATAATTATGATTATTACTTATAGAATTCCATAAATTATGTTTTTTTTTTTATATTTAATGGTGCGACTTTTGCCACCACTTCGCCCACCACTATCTCGCCTGGTGGTAAGCGATGATGCCGTCTACGATGGAGCACGTCGTCTCATAAGCAACCAATGAACTCGGGCCTTGAAGACTCCCAGGTTACCCTTCAGGAAACATTGACATTAAATATTGACATTGAAACATTGACTTTACACATAACATCATGCTTTTTATACCTGAAGGAGTAATGCCACTATACAATGTAATATCCACTTCTCATTATATATGTTATGAGTCCCATGTAAAAGACGAGCCTATTGCCATATACCGTGCACAATTTCAGACTCCGTACTTTGCCCGCCTCGGGAATCGAAACCGAAACCCCTTGACCACTAGTTATTTACTTCAGAATATCGATAATATGTAAAGTCAAAGTCAAAGTCAAAATCATTTATTTCAATTAGACCAGAAAGGCACTTTTGAACGTCAACAATAAAATTAGAAGTGAAGCTATTTGCTCATTCCAAAGTGTAGATTCCTATGGAGAAGAACGAGCAAGAAACTCCATAGGTTACTCTTTTTCAATCAGGTTCACAATACAATTGTCCAGTTACATAGTTTGCTGTTTGGATTGTGCGAGAACAATGTAACACTAAAATCTAGTCAAAGTGATTGAAAAAGAAAATAACCTTAAAGACAATAAATAATACAGTCTGGAGCTGACCAGTCCCAGTTGACGGCGCCCGTTCACGAACATGACACGTACACCAGCACCGCCCAAATCAACCATATTGTAGGGAATCGAGCGATCCACTGCACGCGCCACCGCCAATGAGACCTTTGAGTGAGCATGACAACTCCACGCTGACACAAATGCATTCTACTAGTCTAATTTAATATTAAGTTAATTACAGGGCTCTCACATTCACAATGGTTATCTAAGTTAAACAATATACAATTTAGCAAAATGGCTGTATTATTTACAATTTCATTAAAACATCAGTGTTTTTTGTTATCCTGTGGAGCCGGACTAGCCTGTATCCAAGCATTTTTATCAACTATATAATCATTAAGTTTGTAATACGCTTGTTTACATAAAGTTTTCTTTATACATAATTTAAATTTTGATTCATTTAGGTGTTGTATGTCGCCTGGTATCTTATTATAACATTTAACACAGAATCCCATGAACGACTTACTTACTTTCGCCAATCTCGAAATTGGCTGACTTAATCTATTTCCATGTCTAGTTTGATAGTGGTGTCTGTCCGACACTTTACCAAATAACTGTAGGTTTTTCCTAACATACATGATGTTTTCATAAATAAATTGACATGGAACGGTCATAATGTTGATCTCCTTAAACCTTTCTCTGAGAGATTCGCGACGACCTAGATTGTAGATAGCTCTGACGGCGCGCTTTTGCAATACAAAGATAGACTCAATGTCAGCAGCGTGTCCCCACAGCAAAATGCCATACGACATAATGCTATGAAAGTAACTGAAATACACTAGTCTTGCCGTTTCTATGTCAGTTAACTGTCGTATCTTCCAGACAGCATACGCTGCAGAGCTCAATCGTCCCGCTAATGATGTAATATGAGGACCCCATTGCAATTTGTCGTCTACAGTAATTCCCAGGAAAGTTGTCTCTTTTACAAACTCTAATTTCTCACCATTCAATAATATTATGTCACATTCGTTGCTTTTAACATTTGGCAAAACAAATCTAATACATTTTGTCTTTTTATTGTTTAGTACTAGGTTATTTAATGTAAACCAATTTTGAACTTTAATTAGGGCATTATTTACATCGTCATAATTATTTGTGCGTCTATTTATTTTAAAAACTAATGAAGTGTCATCAGCAAATAATACCATCTGCGGTTCATTTTTAAATAAATGGGGCAAGTCATTTACGTACACTAAAAATAAGAATGGACCTAGTATCGAGCCCTGCAAGCCCTGTAAGTATCAGTATTATAGATAGGTATCGGTAGTAGGTCATAACTATTTGACGGTAAGTGTTTGTCGTAGACTATGTTATGTAACTGCTGGTTAGGTCACCGGTGACCTACGTTACGGAAGATTTTCCTTCAACAGTTTTCTGTCGACAGTCAAAGGCTTATGTAGTCTAGTTGTAACACCAATGGTATTTTCAGAGCCGTGGAAGACTTAACGGGTTGCCAGGGCTCCAGGGCGAAGTGTAGAAGTAGGAACGGGGTGGTTTTTAGTCAGTAAAAGTCTGACATTCCCTTTCGCCTCACTGGGCGGGAGAAGTTATAGGATGATTTTCCGCCCTCAAATAAAAAAAGACCTAACCTATCTGCTGATCATGTAGGAAATTGCTTTATTGCACCATCATTTAGAGGCGGTATCAATCGATTACACAAACACTGTGATGCAAATGAAAATATTAACGGAAAGCATGCTTACAAGTATTTTTTATATAATTACTACAAGGTCATCATCATTATTATACGAATCGACAAAATGTTACAAGATAACCCCACCACGGATATTTCTTTACGTATAAATATAAAATAAAATATTAATTACCAGCTCATTTTCTAACTTCTATTTAGGTTTCTCGAAAATATTTTTCATGACAAGGAAAATATAATTTTGTGAAAATTAGTGATTAATAGAACTCTAGAATAATAAGTATTGTTTCTATAACCTTGTATGTGTCTATGTAATTTTATCTAATACTGATTTACCTATTTAATAACATAATTAATAGTAAAATATATATCTTACACCGTGTTTTTATTACACAATTTTATCTTTAATGTTTTAACATTAACAACCGTGAATAATTGTATTCCTAACCTTTTTTTATACAACAATAAACTCTAGAATTAATAAAATTCACCTTTGAAGTCGAAAATCTTTCATAGAAAACTAATTTAAATTCAGTTCATCGGCGAGTGTGAATATTTATAAAAAAAGTTGTACTGCATTGCATTTAAAATATTTTTATTTAGAGTTAAAGCACTTTTTGTCTTTCATGCGTAGTTTACGAATGTAAGCACAATTAATTAAATTATCGAAAAGAAAAAACAATATTTTTCTCATATACATTACGTTCGATGTTGAATTATACCATAAATAGTTAAAGTTTTAATTTTGTAACCAAGGAAAATGTTTAGAATAAAAAAAATAAAATTGCTTGAGTAAAAATATTATAATTATGTCATATCAATATTTAAATATAATTCAGTATCAAAGTTATAGATTCTTAAAACGGCCATCTTCTTCCTGTGTTCACGCGGTATTTTTTAGATCTGAAACGGAAAGAAAAGTATATGTTAATCAACTTTTAAGAAATAAATATCTATAAGGCTGATCTAATCTACATGAGTTCCTTTGTGCTATAAGAATTCGTTCAAAATGGAATCTTAACTAGGTACTTTTTGAATTGGAACACCAATAAGAAATCATGACACTAATTTACAAACTTGTAAAAAATACATACCCAGTTTTAGAAAGAACCAAGCACCCATGTGCAATGGGTCTCCTCTGCATCTGTCTAAAGTATTTTGCAAGTCTGAGCTGCATGGGTATCCGAGTAATCCGTTGTTGACCATAGATGCTGCAAAAACTTCGAAGGCACGGTTATGGCTGCAGATATGGGTGAAGCAGCCTGGTTGGTTACTACCGCCGTTGACGAAGAAGTTGATATCACCAATAGGAGTTCCGATACCGTTAGCAGTAGGTCCTGTGATATCTGTGTGGATAACTTCAACGTACATGGCATCAGTGTCAGCTAATCTTCCAGAATTGCTACCCCATCGACTTGCAGATGGGTCCAAACCTATAAAAGAAGTCAAACATTTACTACATGAAGGTCGAGAGGAATTTATTCTATGTACTTTAGTTCGAAGAAGAGAGCTGTTACCGGTGATTCTTCCAATTCTGCCAAATCCTTGGTCCAATCGTCGCCCAGTCTGGCCAACAATGTGAGCTCCAAGGTCGAAACCAACTAAATGTAACGTGCTTCTGATCAATCTGGCTTCATATTCCAACCAATTGGTGAAATTAGCCAAATGTTCAGCTACTAAAGGTACTGCTTGCCTTGCAGAAGCATATCCCTGGTTGGCTTCTGTGCTCCAGTCAACCACAATAACGTTGTGAGGTGTTTGATGATCTAGGATAGCTGGAAACAAAGGGTACAGTGAGGTTGGTGGAAAAAATAGTATATTTTTAAACGGTCCGCATGTCATAACATTGAAAGAACAAAGAACTACTTCGGATGCAGCGTACAAATTCGTATATTGCATGGTAATTCATTAGAGTCTTAGATACATCTAATAGAATTTTATCGTAAATTGTAAATATTATGTAAGATGAGTTCATGAAACTTACCATTTTTGATCATAGTATTGAAGTCATTGGTAGCATGGCCATGGTGACCATGAACTAGAATAACGGTGTTGTCAGTTATTTTGAAATGGGAGTATCTTGAAAGTGGCACCCTGGGGTCCAAAATTTCTGGGTTGTGTTTATTTTCCCTTTAAAGAAAATGACATTTTAGACTAAACAAATATGTTTGAATTCAAAAACGTTTTTATTATTGATTAATGTTATTTACTTACAATGTGTATAAAAAATAGGTGTTAGATGCAGTTGCTGAGCAGCTTACTGAAAAGAAAAGTTATTGTTTAAATTGGTGGTTTCCAACAAATTTCTAACAACATGACATATATTTTTTAAATTAAGATAAGATAGGAATTACATTTCTTAACTACTTTTTTAGAAACGAGGTGAAGGGCTTATTGGAATTTCAATAAAACGAATACTAAAAGATTTTCTTGGAATTACTTAAGTAGTTTTTGTTCTCTTATCAGTACTACAAAACCGAATAAGTTTATAAATGCAGCCTCTATCGTGTCATTAATAGCTTGGAATTCGAAAATCTTAGTAACAGTTTTTTCGTTCCAGTAAATCGAAACAAAAATCTTCTGGCTTAACTAGTATAACAGTTCATCTGATCCAAATAATATCTCACCTGCCAGAGCAGCCAAAATGAAAGCTAGTTTGAACATCTTGCTTGATCAACTATTCCCAGACTGATGATGAGTGTAGAAACCACTTGGTATTTATTCTCAGCCTCCTATCAGATAAGTACTACGAGTTCGCGATAAATTAAAGTTCTGACTTAGTACAGTTGAATTAATAGCTTTATCAGCGACTCATTGATTAATCGTCGAAAGATTTTGTTTACATGTTTTTCCTTGTTTATGTAAAGGGTTCTTATTAGTAAACTATGAATAAATAATTAATAATATATAATATTAAACATATAATAGGGTTGTTGCAACTTTATAATATTTAATCCATCATTACACTAAGCTTTCTTATTATACTTTATTAAATTTACGTAATAATACTGGGTTGTTGTTTGCCATATAGAATGCTTTGAAAAGGTAAGACAACAATCTAAGTGGGATGTGCCTGTGATGGATTGAGATTATCTTACAACTATCATACATAATTATTATATGTAGATGATGAACTTAAGTTATAGAGAATCTGAGTATCGTTACAACTAAAAAAGACAGAAAACTGCCGTGAAACAACGCTTACATTGTGTTTTGTCGTGTGTGTGAGGTTATCGGGGGCTCAATGTCCCTAATCCAGAAATTCCCAACAGCCTTCAAAATTTCTTCAAAAGGCCGGTAATGCACTTGTAACACCTCTGGTGTTCTAGGTGTCGTGTTCCAGATGTCCATGGGCGACGCCGATTGCTTACCACCAGGCGATCCGCCTGGGCCTTCACCGGCTTATACAATAAAAAAAGAAAATTCCCATATTACATATTCAATACTCGTAGATCAACAAAACATTAGACTACCATCACGTAACATTCAGAGTGCCAAGCACGAATAACTATCGCATTCGTAACGTAATAGTATCGAGCGCGTTCGGCGCTCTGATTGGCCGGCTCAAGTGAACCAACCAATCAGAACGCTTAACTCGCTCGATACTGTTACGATACGAATGCGATAGTTATTCGTGCTAGGCACTCAGATAATATTTAAGGGAAACATCAAATGAATAATTTATTTGCCAGTTTCTAAATTATGGAACTGATTATTATCTATTTTTCTATCGTACTTATGATAAAATTTTGAATCAATAATAATATCGACTTTGTTATAAGTAATTCATTATGATGACTTGTAAAGTCATGGAAAAAATTGATAAATTTTAGGCCTAGTTTTATTGGTTCCACAAACTCATCATTATAATGTGTGTTGTTTAAGATTAACAAACTGAAGTAAAGTTGTGTTAAAGTTTTTATTTTTACTAGAAAAGATCTCAGAAGAAGACTAACATGTCAGTTTTAAGCAGTTATCACTCCTTAACTCGTCGAGTACCGTATTTATAGACACAATTGGTTGCGGTCACCGGTGACCGCTTGGTGTTTGACAGTTTAACCCATATGTATAAACACAAAAAGTCTACCAGCAATTTATACTCAAGATAAAAGCGTACAAAATATCCGTTCAAAAAAGTACTCATCCCTTGTTCACGTTTCCTGTAAAGCCATTACTTATGCCACCGTGGGCCATTTAATGACTTACCTGTAGCAACAGGCTGTGGTCGAAGCCCTAAAAAGGGTCGCGACCCCCAAGCAATTTAGCCTTATAACACCAAAAGGGTGCGTAAGTCGACCCGCGGTAATTGCACATAGTGGCATTAATGTAACATTACTTCCTTGTTGCTATAACTTATAGACATTAGCCATGTTCAATTATATTAGAGATCTAATGTTTTAATGGATACGTGTTTCTTTTAAAATGAGAAGGCAAAATTATATAATACACTGAGTTATTATACAGTACCTACTGGGAATCAATAATTTAAAATTCAACACTCAAATGGAACGGTCGTGTTTTCAAGATTACGTTTTGCTAATTTAGATATAAAAAAATATTTATACCTAATCTATTTAGTCAAAACTATTATTACACAAGTTAAAGTTATTGAACAGGGAGAAAGTTAGAAATCCCTTTCAAATGTGAGGTAGGGGTGATAGTGAAACTGCATTTGCCACCGGTTGATCAACGAGGCAATCGAAAAAAACATGCAATTAAAAAGCTGGTTTTATAATGATATACAAAATATCATTATAACTGACATAATGATATTTCCTTTTTCGATCTACATTTAATACATATATGGTTTGTATAAAACGCTCATCATAAATATTGACAGACATTTTATCCTTTATTAAAAATATTTTTAAGTATTTTTTTCATATCGATGTCTTCAGGCCAAAAGGGGGTAAGCGACATTTTTTGCCATATCGACTTATATCGAAAATAAGGGCCAATATCGTAAATTTATTTGTCTTAGAGTGACTCAAGAGTTGATCGTTACTAAAATAAAGCATTTATAACTTTCGAGATTCAGTAAGTTTAGACTACAATGTAGGCATTGTCCAAACATGTTTGTTATTAAAACCTAGGAACACATTAATACTGTTTAATAAAAACCTAAAAACATATTGGCCCTTATTTCATTTTGAGTAGTATGTAGATTAGATGCAGAAAGGATTCTATTAGCCCATTCTAAGCATATTTGGCTGCACGTTAGTTGACTGCACGGTTGGTGCGGGTTCGATTCCCGCACAGGACAACAATTTGTGTGATCCACAAATCCACGACACAGGAGAAAATCTTAGTGTGGGGCAACGTATTATTTAAAAAATATATATATTTATAAGTGAATTCTTTGTAAAATGACAGAGATAGCAAGAAATTTAAGTATAAATTAAAATTGAGTAACATTTCAGTATGTAGGTGTTAAGGTATCAGTACGATACTTATTTATATAGCATAACATAACAGCACGCCTTTTTATCCCCGAAGGGGTACGCAGAGGTGCACATTACGGCACTTAATGCCACTGTACAATGTAACACCCACTTTTCACTATTTATGTTATGAGTCCCATGTAATAGGGGGTGATCCTATTGCCATATGCCGAGCACATTTCCAGACTCCGTGCTGCTACTGAAATTTTTAAAAACCCAGTAATACTTTGTCCGACCCGAGACCCCTTGCACGACAGTCGCACTTGCGACCACTCGGCCAACGAGGCAGTCATTTATATAGCTACAAAATATATCATACACGGTTCAATTGAGGAGCAATTTACGAGATCCATTGTAGGTCAGCTTCCTCAGGATTGACGCATACAGCAAGAAACTTGGCAGTCTCTTGGTGTGTCTCTTCCAAGTGGTATAAATTATGAGGGCCACTCACTTGCTGACCCAAAATTACTTGGCAGGCAGTGGCATACTGGCATTGCTTGGAGACTGTTCAGTTTAACTTAACGAATAAGGATAAATAAGTGCATAGACTGTATAATATTATGTGCTAAGCCAGTTTTTAGGTCTGCTGGGCTCTACCTCTGTTAATAATAGTAGCAATTTCGCTGGCTGGAATTCTAATATAATTTTTGACGCTACTGTATTTTCGCTCACCATACGGTGTTAGAGACCTCTCGATTTTCATCATCAACAGGGAATTAGTTAGTGCAGATTATTAGATGTTTAATTTAATAAAACTTCTTGCTTCATTTGCCCCATCTAGTGACCAAAAATACGGTAGTCTCCATTGTATAAAGAAGAATTACTGATGTTGTACAGCGTACAAGTTTATTTTTCATTATTGCAATATTTAATTACCTCTAGTTTCCTGTCATCAATATAAAGAAATATTTTACAAGGCAATAAATGTTACAGAAAATGAAACAGGTTTTATTTCAGATGAACGTAATTAACTATATCTAAAGTAGGACCAAGTTATTTTTCTTATTATAAGTTTCTTATCTTATTTATAAATAAAATTCGATTTAATTGGAAATCCGGTTGATTGTGTTGATGTAAATAATCTGATCAGAGTAATTAATCTTTTCTTTTATATTGGAATTTTCTGGAGTTCAACAAGACGTAGTTTAATTTTTTACTTGTGGAAATAGAATGACGTGTTAAACGTTAAATATAGCGTCTTATTTTGATTACCTTGTAAAAATAACGGGTTACGAAAGTTTCTTAACTTTTATAACAAAGATTTTCTTTACAAATAGGTACAATACATTTAGGTTTCTTACTATCCAAAATTATAAGATTTTATTTTAATTTAATTTATTTATGATACTTCATCGTAGTAAATAATTATAAAAAGATTTACTTTTGTCATAATAACAAATTAATAATAATATTATAATGGTCCGTAGCTGTAGTTCTGCGTTTGCGTCCATGTTAAGGAAAGCCCTTCAAAAATTCCCGAAAAAAAAACTGCTACTAAATTAGTAGTAGTAAGATCAAATTTCTTTGATCTTACATGTTTTCAGTTCATTCACAATTCATGTAAAGTGGACACACACAGGTGAGTGGTAGCGAATACACTAGAATTTTCTCCTGTGTCGTGGGTGCGTTTACAAACATACAAGTTCACATACACATGACACCCAGACCCGAAACACAAAGAGTTGCTTCATGCGGGAAATAAACCCGCGACACATTCCACGACAGCCAGTTGTCCAACCACCGCACCATATCTATATGTGCAGTCATAATCATATAATAATCATCATAATAATATGAACTGCAGTCGTAATAAAATATATGAATTCGAAAGTGGGTTTAATTTCTTCATGATTTGTATACTCGGTAGTGATAATAGATAATAAAGTGATAGGTCATATATATTTTTACCAGCTTATTCCAAGATGGTAAACGAGTAGGCGGATCAACTGATGGTGAGCTATCGGCGCCGCCCATATAGACGTCCGAAACATCAGAAGTGTTACGAGAGCATTACCTACCGGCGTTTTAGGGATTAGATTAGTAATTTGAAGATTGTTGAGGATCTGAGAGATTGGAGGGGGGAGGGGGGTAATTAAGCCTCCAGTAACCTCACCCATACGTCGAAACATAACACAAGTGGTTATTTCACGTCAATTTTCTCTGAGGCTGTGGTATCACTCCGATCGAGCCGGCCCATTCGTGCCGAAGCATGGCTCTCCCACA